GACAAAGATTTGTCCTGACTGTGGGCAAGGCAGGAAAACTCTAGCTACAGACAGGAGCGGGTGATCCAGGCTCTCACATTGCTGAGTCTCCTCACGATGCTGTCTGGCCCCCTTTCCTGGGCCTGGATGGCCTGAGGCCTTGCTGCCGTGGGTCTGGCCTGTGCCTTGTGTGATTGTGGGAGCAGGTGGTGGGTATTGGCCGTCATTCCGTCAGCAAGTGCAGGAAGACGGAATGACCTGAGAATCCCCAGTGGTGTCAACCATGGAGTTCTCTCATTGGGTTCTTTGGGGCCAGGCTCTGTTGGAGCATAGGGTTAAAGGGAAGGCTGGCCACGTGGTTCTTCCAGTTGACCCAGCTGGTTATAGTGGTCCTCAGCCCTGCTGCCTGCTGTATTGGGTCCTCTGTCGGCCCTCACAAAGCATTTGCCAAGCAGCTGGCGAACATGTAAGAAGTAAGGACGGTGGACCTCAGCTGAGGGAGATCCTGCCTGCTTCCTGAGGCTGTGCCATTTATTGTACCCTCTGAATGCAGTGCCAGGGCTGGGAGCTAAGTTGCTTTTCCATATTTATAGCTCTACTGGACAGCAGCCCTGTATGGGCAGCTCTTGGCTGGTGGGCACCAGAACTAGGCCAGGGGCACAGTTTTTAATTTTACTCAGTCCCTGTTTCCAGGAGCCTAGGTGAGTAAACTGCAGGCTGCTAGCCTTGCCTGGACCCCAGCCTTCTCTGAGCCCTTTTCTTGGTAAAATAAACACATGGGCCATTTCAGTCCCTGCAAGTCTTGGTTTTTACCATTTCTGAGTGACAGTGGTTCATACTCAGGGACTAAGGGCTGGGAGAATGGGAACCCAGGTTCATGGGTGTATTGTATGAGTGGGTGGGGGAGGACTCACCTGAGCTGAGTCCTGAGGGTTGGGGAGTGCACACCCTGGAAAGGGATGAGACAGCCCTGTGCACTGGACCTCATGGAGATGGGTCCTAGCTTGCAGTAAACAATGTGAAGCAGGTTGATGAATGAAGGTGGGTAGCCAGCAGGGAGCCTTAGTGTGGTGTGCTCTGGAAAGACGTACACATAACCCGTATGCTTAAATGGGGTGAGTGAGACAAGTGTGATGGATAGTTGGCTGTGGGACTGTGTGGGAAGGTGGTGGAGAAAGATGGAGTATACAAAGCCCAGGCTAATTCCACTGTGAGAGAAAACATATTTGTCTTCCCGGGTCTGGCTTATTTCATTTAGCACAGTGCTCTTTAGTTCCATCCATTTCCCTGCAAATGCCATAGTCTCTTTCCTCTTTACAGCAGGATAAAGTTCCATTGTGTATGTATTTCTTCACGCATTCATCTACTGACAGAGCTGCAGACCGGCCCCACAGCCTGCCGTGTGTGTGTGTGTGTGTGTGTGTGTGTGTGTGTGTGTGTGTGTGTGAACACAGGCGTGCAGGAACGCCTCTGGTGTACTGACAGAATTGAGGAGTTGGTGAGGGGAGGAAGAGGTCTAAAGGAAGGGAGAGGGGAGCTAGTGAGGGTAGTCGGATATGTGTGACATTGAAGCAGGAAGAGGGATACTTGAGGGGAGGAAGGTGACCAGCAAGGGGCGGCCATGAAGAGGGAACAAGAGCAAAATATAATGATGTATATGTATTAAAATGTTACAGTGAAACCTATTTCTTTGTATGTTAAGAATTAGTAATAAAATATAAAAGCTATGTTGGTTACACAGAAAAATAGTTTGTGGTAGGTACGGTGGTGCACGTCTTTGATCCCAGTACTTGGGAGGCAGAGACAAGTGGATCTCTGTGAGTTAGAGACCAGCCTGGTCTCCGTAGCAAGTTCTAGAGCTGCATGGTGAGTTCCTGTCTGAAAAACAAAACGAAAAACCAAAAGGAGAACAATCTTGGAGTTTTGTCAGGTAGCATAATCTCCTCCCCAAACCCAAATAACCGCACCCCCATCCCCCCCCCCAAAAAAAAAAAAAACACAACAAGTTCAGGCTGAGAGGGATATGGGTCAGCTAGAGGCCACGGAATGGTAGGAGGGGCCAGAAGTGGCTAGGTTTGGAGAAGGACAAGTGGAAAAAAATGGATGGCTGGTGTGATAGGCTGTGGCAGACGTGGGAACCAGACCGAGGTGCTTGGATCAAGGTGAAAGTTTTGGAGAATCTACCTGTGGTAGTTGAGGCACGCGGGATTCTTGGGGCTGTCCAGGCCAGAGCTCTTACTGCTGAAGACCCAGCCTGGCCCAGGCTGGAGGGCTTGGGAGGGCGATAGCTGCTGTCAGTTCTACACGGCTCTAGCCAAGTTTCCCGGGAATCAGCCATCTCTGCCAGGTTGTGAGGGGGCTCATAAACCTTGCCCTTGAAAGGAGGTCCCTCTAAGGATGCTGGCTGGAGAGACATGGCCTGAGCATGGCTCATGCTGCTGCGCTCTCAGCTGGTCCTGCTCTCAGCTGGCTGTAGTGGATGGTCTGGAGAGGACGCTGCCTCTCTGCTGGAGTAACACCATTTTCTTTGTTTTCTCCACAGGAAGCGCGGGATAGAGGTCGTGCAGGTGAGTACAGACCACTTCTTCACATTTCCATGTGGTGACCAAAGCATGAGCTTAATCTGTCTTTGTGAGAGTTTGGGTGGTTGGCCGCTTTTTATGGGTGCCTGGATGGTGACATCCCCCTGGAGATCTGACATAGCTGCTGTCCCCAGTGGGGTACAGACTCAGGCTGGTGGCTGCTAGTGTTTGGAGAGTTAGTGTGTGAGGAACAGGAAGGGCCAGGAGTCCTGGGGGTCGTGCCACTTGGATGGGTGTTAGGAAGGATGAAGGGACAGTAGTGACCGGCTGTGTGTCCTGTCATTCTGTCCTCTGCTCAGTCTTGGGCTCACTGGCTGGAGAAGGAAGAAGGATGGATGGAGGGGAAAAGAGTGATAGGTGGAGGAAGGGAAAAGGAAGAATGGAAGGAAGGGGAAGGAAAAGAAAGTGTGGATAGAATGGGGAGGGGCAGAGAAGAAAGAATGGAGAGATGGCCCTGAAGTGGCTATCCAGATGCCAACAGCAGCCGTCTCAGGAAGGTCAGCAGGTTTGATCTGTCTGAGAGAGCCTGGCCATGGGATTACCTGTTGATATTCTGCTAAGAGACCGTGGCCCTTATAGTCATGTCTCTCCAGGGATGGTGAAGTGGTATTCACCTCCACGTAAACTCAGAAATAGAGACCCACAGTGAGGGACAGGTTGGACACGTGCACCAAAGCTGTGCCTGGTTTCCCGTGTCGCCCCTGCTGTCCCTGTCCAAGATGAACCTGACTGTCCGGGTACCAGGCTGTCTACCCTTCCATCTGCTTTGAAGGCTATAATCTGCCTGCCCTGCAGAGGGTCACCCAGGATGGGGACCAGACCAAGGCTCATGGCAGACAGCTGAAGGAAGTTTCTAGAAAGCCTGCTGAGGCATACCCAGAGCCCTTGTTTGTTCAGTTTCAGGAGGCTCCTGCTCAGCATTTGTAGGAAAGGGTTTCCCCATCCAGGCGGGCATGTACCTGGCAGGCCTGAGATCTTCTCCGTACCCTGGCTGTGGGTGGGACGCGAGCCTGGCGCCAGTGTTTAGAGTGTGCCAGGCAAAAGGGTTCTGACCGCTTTCGAGATGTGTCTGTTGTTCATTTGGATGATGACTTAAGGGGGAGGGAGTGGTGGCTGGGGACAGAGTGAAGCCCAACTGGGTGCCTTCTACTCTGGCATCTAAAAATAAAGTCCACGGCGAAGCCTCTCCCTGCACCTCCTCTGGCGTCCAGGAGAGAGTCTTGAGAACTTTAAAATGTGAAGACACTGAGGGAGACTCTGCAGAAACTGGAAGCCAAATACCTTGGCTGGGTTTTCCAAGTCAGCTGGGCTTTCGGGCACCACATCTCAGTGTGAGGTAGGCAGAGTGCCAGTCATTGGGTTAGGTGTGAGTGAGTGAGAGGATTAGGGGGACCATGCCCCAGGCACCTCAGCATTCATCTCCTTTGTCAGGTCCCGGTTGTATGGGAGGAGGTATGTCTTTTGTAGAGACGAAGAAACTGAGGCTCCAGATGTTGTGGCCCTTGGAGAGGTCTGCTGCCTGGCAGTGGAGTGAGGGTTGAGGTTTGGGTTGGCCTGTTTGCTCTGTGGTCTTCTCTCTGTGTTAATGCATGATGCATTTACAAGATACCCCCCACCCAGTGTTGCTGGCCTTTCGCTACTGTCTAAATGGATGCAGGACTTGGGTTCAGGACCTAAGCATGAGGAACCTGGGCAAGATCCTGCCTGTTTGTCCAGGTCACGGAAGTAATTTCTCTTCCTGTTATCCGTTGGTAACTGCGGCAGCATCAGTGATGGACATTTATGGGGACTGTGGTGTACCCAGGAAGTGGCCGTTGATTCTCAAGGAACATTGGTGTGTAACCTTTCCCAGGCATGGGTGTGAGCGCGTGCTCTGCAGCAGTGAGAGCTATCAGATTCCTTCTTTTGCCTCAGCCACCCCTGCCGGGCAGGTGAGGAGCAAGGCGGCCTGGGCTCAGGTTCTGGCTGTGTGATGAGCCCGCTAGTCTGTTCAGTGGGATAACTGGCAGACCTGCCCCAGGATCCTTGAGGATTGGTTCAGTCCAGGTGACGTGATTGGCACTGGGGCTGGCACACAGAGGTTGATGACCTGCAGAGCTGTACCTCAGTGTGGGACCACAGGACACAGCCCTCCATCATCAAGGGAGTCAGCTGGTCATTATAACCCTAGGAGATAAAGACTGGAGGAGATCCATGGTGCTGGGAACAAAATTGAAAGAGGACCCGATGGAGCTGTCAACTGGCTAGCACATGGGTGATGAATTTAACGATTCATCTCCCCTCCCCTTGAGGTTTTTTTGAGACAGGATTTCTCTCTGTAGCTTTGGACCCTGTCCTAGAACTTGCTCTGTAGACCAGGCTGGCCTTGAACTCACAGAGATCCTCCTGCCTCTGCCTCCCAAGTGCTGGGATTAAAGGTGAGCGCCACCACCACCCAGCTCCTCCCCTTGAGTTTTAACACTTGTTTCTATAAACTGAAGACTGGAGATAGAATTAACTGTCTTACTCTAGCAGTCGGTAAGACGCCTCTGTGGATGCAGGAAATGACTTTTTAAAAAGTCCCATTCATCTCCTCAAGTTACGTTTCTAATAAAGCTTTTTCACGTGTATTACTTGTGCAGTTTTGAGTATATGTTAGTCATGTTGATCAATTTTATATTAATAACCGATAATGATTTAGTTCAGAAGGAACTTTTGATGTATGTGAGAGCTTTCTGACCATATAGAAAGCCTTTGAAGGAGGAACAGTTATGTACATAACTCAGCGGTATAGTAGAAAAATAAGGGAGAGACTTTCCGAAGTAAAATACCCTGACAGTTTAAACATCTCCAAGGAAGAGGACTGGAAATTAGTCTGAGAAGAAAAAAGAAGTGTTTGGTTTCTAGCTGTCTGAGAAGGCCCTGATTATATAATCTGAAAATGGATGATGGTGGATCGCAGATCACCGGAGTATTTGGACCACATTGGATCCATTTAAAAGAGAAATAGTAACAGTTTTATTTTCTAATGTTAATATTTACATCATGTTGGATATGACATCCTCTGCAAGTATTTAAACTTACGGGACATTTCAGATATCGGCTTAAAAACGTGCCAATTGAGACAGTTTTAAACATTAATTTTGGGGTTTGTTTTGAAGGCCGTTTACATCTCAGAACCAGGTACTTCCTCAGAGAGGGATGGCGGCAGGCCATCAAGAGGCTCTGTGGGTCTTCCCACAGGGGACCGGGGAGTTCGCCTTGCCTGCCTGGCCTCCCCTGACCTGATTTCCTGTGAGTTGCGCCACTCTGCTCAGGTTAGCTCAGGAGGCTGCAAGCAACATGCCGGTGTGGTGTGGGTCTCTCAGGAGGAGGAGAGGCCTGCTGTGTGTTTAGTGCTGAGGTACTGAGACCCAGGAGTTGAGGTACAAGGTGTGGAGTTGAGCAGCCATTGCTTTCTGTATGGCAGCCTGGACACCTGTGTGGGCCAGTCTGCAGTCGGCGACCAGGGGCCCAGAGGGGCAGAGACATTGGAACCTTACCCCATCTGTGAGGTCAGGAAGGCTCCCAGGGGAGGAGTCTGGCTGTGGGGGTTAGTTATTGCACCCAGTAGGGCCTTCCTGAGAGTAGTCCAAGCCCACAGACCCATCAGGACTTGCCACCTCTCTCCCGTCCCCCTCTCCCCCCTGAGTCTGAAAGCTTTGAACACAGCCAGATGGATGCTAAAATGGCCAAGTGTTAAATACGGAGCTGTGACCACCTTGGAGACAGCGTCTGGGGGCGGAGGGTTATTGGATTCAGGGGCTGGGCCCATCAGAACCCCCTGAGGGCTCATCAGAGGCCTGTGTTTCTCTAGTCTGGTCTGTGGATAAATTCAGGAGAGATGCTTTTCTTTGTAGGACTTCATTACTCCTTCCTCAGTATCCCCAAACCCAGTGGAGCAAGACCCAAGAAGACCCTGCCTGCCTGCAGCTGGCATGCTGGCAAAGCCCCTGCCTCAGCATAAGCCTGGCTTTCACCCCACTGGGGAGAAGGCAGGGTCTGTTAGCCTGGGCTATTCTTTTAAAATGCAAATGAGTAAGCCACAAGTGTGAAAAGTACAGTAGCCAATTATAGATTCCTCCTTCCAAATTCTTGGCAGATTCAGACATTATGAAACCTAGTCTTGGGGCAGCCACTGTTTTTCAGGCTGGCAAGTAAGTTTCCTCAGGTTCAAGAGGGAGCAGGGCCTCTACCCTAGCAGAGATGCAGTACTTAAAAAAAGATTTGTTTAAAGTGTGTATGGGTGTTTTGCCTGCATATATGTTTGTCCACCACATGCATGCAGGGCCTGCGGAGGCCAGAAGAGGGCATTGGGTATCCTGGGACCGGAGTTACAGATGGTTGCGAGCCACCATGTAGGTGCCAGGAATTGAGCTGGGGTCTTCTGGAAGAGCAACCAGCCTACCCCAAAAGCTGGCAGACATCAAGCATCCGGGGAAAGGCAAGGCTGAGAAGCAGAAATTAGCAGGCTGTATACCTTCGAGAGGAGGCCATGTGCTCAGGACTGCAATAGAACTTCGTGTTGAGCCCATACAGTTCAGGGGTGGGGTGTAACATCGGTGATGACTGTTGGGAGTTGACGGGCAAGCCCTGTGGATGGGGCAGGCTTTCTGTTGTGGGTTAGGGTCTTCAAGGGAATGGAGCAAGAAGGAGGTAGGTGGCAATGGGGAGGCCCCGTAGAGGAGGCCATAACCTCTTGATGCAGAGTGAATGAGGCCGAAGTGTTACGGGAAGTTACTAGGTTGGCATTGTGGGACCTAGACTAGCCTGCATCCAGACTTGGAGCCTGGGAATGGTGTCTGTTGAGGAAGATTGGTCTAGGGAGTTTGGGCTTTGGGTCCTGAGGGGGTTGGCAAGAGGCCAGGCTGACGCAAACAGGAGAGTTCAGAGCACTGAGGGGCTGGGTGAACTTTGGTGGGGGCAGCGTCTGGGCACTGAAGGGGTTCTGATGGGAGAGAGGAGCG